CTCAAGGCAGACATTTTGTGACTAGTCATGGTCTCCCAGCTGCCATTATGTGGTGATACTCATAAGCTTTTCCAAATGGGCCCATGAGCCTGAAAAGGGTTGGTAACTACTGGCCTAAAGGCCCACACATACCTCGCTAGCGATGTGGTGGGCATCTTTTAAGGTCTTGTAGATCTTGGCTTCCTTCAGGTCGTATTGCGGCTTATTGCCCTTCTCCTTGTCAAACTTCTCTTTGTATTTGATCTAATTCCAAGAGGAACAAGTGTTAAAACAAGGTCCTGAATTTTAGCTTGTCTGGTGCCAAGGGAGAAAGAGTCCACATTCAGATTGTCAAAACTGATCCCAATTGCAAGCAGACAGGTCGAACAATGCAAGCCATAAGACCTCTTTGAAAAAGAAGATACCATTAACGAAGGCCAGGAAAATTCACGTGATGCAGCAATGAACTTGGCACACACTGCATTTACAAGATTTCATGTTGCGTCTTTCATTCAGTAGTTGTGTTTCAGCTCCACATTTGAAATATATAACTCATTCATGGGGGGCGGTCCTGAATGTTGTGTGTGTGTAGCATGGCTATCAAGAGACACAAGAGCTAAATTATGACTGCATTGTGCATTTTTCTGTGGCCTAAAATGGGCCTAAAATAGAAACATCTGACTTTCTAAATACTTCTTTCCTGCCTTCTCTCCAAGGGATTTTGAGCAGCATTCAAGTCTCAGGGTAGATCTACACACAGGGGAAAAAACGCTATAAATACCGTAAGTCAGAAACTAGATCGTTGTAACAAAAAATTTAAAAACCCCTATGGAAAATTTTCCTGCTCTCTGGCGTCATCTGGTGTTGCATGTTTATAGTGCATGCAAATCATTTTTTCTTTACTAATGATGAAAGTAGGTTTGACAGAGACTGTAATTTGCCCAAGACTCCTCCCAGTAAATTTTACAGCTCAGCATGGTTTTAAACCAAGATTTGCTACACTGGAGCCCAGTGTTCTCCCAATACACTGCCTAATCAAAGAGGCAGTTGCATTTGATCTGATAACTATAATTATTGGCTTTAAGAGAAATTGCAAAAAGACTGTGATTTTAAATAAAAAGACATGTTCATGATAGAGAATAAAGGTCCTGCTAGATGCTCTATTCTCTCAGTACTAGAATTCAGAAGAATACTATACTGCACTTTTATTTACAATGACTTTCCTATGCCCTCTGATGGACAGTCCAGTTCTGCCTGACAATTGAAGTGAGCAAATGCAGCTTGGTTACTTTCATTCTAATGGAGGAATAAACAGATTCACCATGTTTTCAGTCGAAGAACTTGCCAGGGGATATTACTGCTTACTAGTACTTTGCACTGTTAGTGTGCAAAGTACATAGAGCAAGGTTCTTAAGACTGAAAAGCTTCATTATCAAATGCTCCATAAAAGAAGAGGTAAGATATTAGTCATTTGCTAAAGAGAGAGAAAATAGCAGTTATACAAATCCTGGCATGAACCAGCAAAAATTAAGCACCTGGATTCCAAATGATTTCAACGAGAGCTTATGATGTATTTTAGCCCTCTCATGTTGAAATCAATGGTTTGATATGCTTAATTTTACAGGGATGGCACCCAGTCTTCACCCCACCCCTGGCAAGAGCTGATTGACGTAACTGATGAAAGGAATAGATCATGCTAGGGAGCAATGCACATGGCTGAAAAGAAAAAAAGTTTAACGTTAGAAAACGGAAAGATGCCGCAGTGCAGATTTCAATCCCATTCCACGATTCTGGATGTCTAAAACATGTTGGCATGTTTTTATCCACACAACCCTGTATCCTTCATGCTGGATAGCCTCATCTTTGGGACATGGGTTGCCAAAAGATGCCAGTGGTCAATATTCAAGTGACAGTCAAGTACACTGTTTATGTTTACTTTTTAAAAAATGCAGGACACTCTGGGCACTGAGGCTCTTGAGAAGGACAAGACTCTTCCTACAATGACACAGACACACACAAACACAAATGACGTATTACAGGTAGGTGGGGACCATTATGGGCCACCACAATTCAGATATGCATTTTGTGCCTGAATAGTGGCTCCACAGGGCACAAGCTACTTTCTTAGAATACTCTGTGGGTTTCAAAAGCATTTTGACATTTGTCGTGAGGACCCACTAGATCAAAATGCAAGTCTCTCGTTAATACTTGCGATTTCCATCAGGATTCCGTACTTGCTAAACAAGATTTGTTAATGGATATGAGATAATGAACAAAAAACTATGGATGATTGGCAGAGAAGCTGATGGAAGTCCAAAGGTTGAAATTTGTGAAAATGTTTGATATGGTGATATTTGTATAATGGAAAATTTAATAAAAATTATTATATAAAAAAAGAGATAATGAACAAAAAACAAGAGGCAGAGGGACTTGTTTCAATATTAAAACAAAAAGCAGCAACAAAACCATAAGACACAGTATACAAGAGTATCAATAGCAGTGACAACATAGATGACATAAGACACTGTGTAGATGGTGTTTTGACAGTTTTCATGGCAAATTCCTGCTGTTTCTCACAAGTAGAGAAAGACGGTTTCTCTGACATGCAGCTGTCCCATGCAACAATCACAAAGAGAAATGGGAAATAAAGCACCCCCCTTTATTCCTTATGAAATTTCTGTCCATAACCTGTAGAAAATTGGTGCAAATATGTCATTTACTTTCTAAGCAATTTGAAAGCGAGTGAAGAATCATCTGAAAATGTCTGTCCGCAAATAACAGTAGTTAAGGAGCTATTTGCAAGAGTTTAGGAATTTGTTTGAAGGTAATTCATCAGAAGCCTTTTCCCTAAATTGGTGGCTTTTAATAGGGGTGTCCACATTGTTATATTCAATGAATGTAGACTTTGAGGACTGTGTACAGAAATAGTTGAGCTGTTCACTCGTACAATTTTTTACATGCAGCATTCCACAAGAGCATATTTTGTGTACCTGCAGCAGTTGAGCTATAAGAGCTTGTACCTGTGCTCAGTGCAATGTGTGGACAAGCTTATTCTGTTTCAAGAAACTCTGGGTTCTTAGTGAGAAGGTCAGTAATGATGAACTAGCTTCCCTGAACAACAGCTTGTCCACTGCTACTGCTCCTCCTCTGCGATCCTGGAGAGGATTGGGAATGTTCCAGGATATATTCTCAGTTAATTCAGGGCAACAAAAGTGGTTCCTGAAGTCTGGGCAGCATTCTACATCAACTGACTGTGCACATGAACTGGGGATAAAGCACACTGCAGAGTGCACAGTTGTATTCAAGTGCAGATAGCTGCCACAGTTCCCCTATATATATATATATATATATATATATATATATATATATAATACAGAGCATGGGTTGTGCTCTTAACACACTGACATGAAAACTAGTGAATGCTTCAGGAATTGCCACCAATGTCATATAGAGGGAAGTGTAAATGTTTGACTAAATTCCCCACTTTCATGTATTTTGGACAACTCAAGCTTTTCCTTGAAGCCGAGACATTCTCAGAACAAATTCCCAAGCAGAACTTTGCATAAGGAAGAAAGGGGAGGGCTCACAAATACACAAGGTTTTAATGTTCTTTTTCAAAAATAAAAATAGAAGCAGTGCCTCGAACACTTAGGATTGTGCCAAGAATATAGAATCTAGCAAGAGACTCATGAAATTGGTAGCAGCATAGGAGAGCCGCTTAAAATCCATCTTACATGGCTACTTAGGACATTAGCTTTCTTAACGTGTCTCATCATGGGCGTGTCGTATGATGCAGCCCCATGGCCCCTCATGCGTCCTTTGATGTATTCTGCCTACAAAGCGTAGCAAGATAGCAAGATTAGAATGGCAAACCTCCAAGATGGACAAAGCAAGAAGCTGAGGTAGAAGAGCCGGTGATATTCTTGTCTTTGTGGGGGGCAGGGAGTCTCGTGGGAAGCAGCATGGGTCAGAAACGCACCAAGTGAAGTCGGTCAGTGTTTGTCAGAGAGGAAAGAGGCATACGCTAGCACCAAAACGCAAAAAGTTAACACGTTGTTTGAAGTGTTTTCCCTGAGGGGAAAGTCCAGTGCTGCTACCCTCACTATAGAAATATATAACAGCACAAACATTAAAATGTCTGCCAAAGAAAATTGATAAGGGAATAACTGGAGAGAAGACAATAAAAAGAAACATTTTACCTCCCAGTATACAGCAAATGACCAAACATTTACGGCATGTTTTTTAACACAAAAATTGTTTCAGGTCATTGGTATGGGAGCCCGGTGCCTTCCATATGTTGTTGGACTCCAGTTCAACTCTTAGCATCAAAGTTTGGCATGGTCAGGAATCTGCTAAGGACCAGCACTCCAGCAGGGCACCCGCTGAACTTCTCTTCACCACAACCAACCTGCTTGTTCACTCATCTTTTGCTCTGGCTCAGACAATACTGGTGATGTAAAGGATGAGATGAACCCTTGGGGGGGTCTGTGGGGGGTTTTTGCGGGGGGGGGGGTTCCATTGTATTCAAAACAGAAATAAATCATTTTAAATGCCAGGTAAGAGTTTAGTAATATAAACCAAAGAGAGAGAGAAAGGGAAAGAAAGAAAGAAAGAAAGAAAGAAAGAAAGAAAGAAAGAAAGAAAGAAAGACAGACAGACAAGCCCAGGCCCATGGAAACATGAATCTGGATTACTTCGATCAGTGCTACTTTGTGAGAACAGAGACTCTGATTACACAAGGAGTTCCTCTCCCACTCAGTATAATGGGTGAGGCAGCTCCCTGTGTGTAAAGGGTGCCTTCAGCTCAGTAATTGTTTCTTCAATGAGCTAAATAGGAAGCTCACCTACATAGGGACACAATACACAGAGTATAGCATCCACGTACCGCAGCAGACTTCAAAGGCCGTCAATACCTTTCAGAACAATCTAACCCCTAGGTCAAGAGCTTGATCAGGGATGGTAGAGTTGGAAGGGACCACGAGGGCCATCTAGCCCAAACCCCTGCAAGGCAGGAATCTTTTTGCCCGGCGTGGGGCTCGAACCCACAATCCTGAGATTAAGAGACACAAGCTCTACTGACTTCGCTAACTTTCGGGATGGGGTGGGTGAGAGGCTTTGGTGGCAGCAGTAAAACAAGGAGATATTGAAGTACATACACCAGAGTCCAGCACCCAGATGTGGATGCAAATTGCCCACTTCCCAGATATCAGATTGATGATTGGATGACCAGAGATAAGGAAATAATCTCCTCCCTCATTGGATCTGTACAGAACAGTGGAGGGGGGGTAGGCTCTTTGCTTGTGCCGTATATTTATGTGCATATGAGATGGTGAGGTGGCCACAACCACGATTGACAGACAGCCCTGGAAGATTTGGCCAGAAAATATTAACCACCCCGATCTCAAATAAATTATCTCTAAAGCTGCTTTATCTGTAAAGTCAACATTACATCAAAATGATTGCAAAAGAAAATGTATGCCATATGGTTATAAGTTGAAGCAGCCACCTGTTCATACCTGGCTTGTAAGTTTGGACACCTCCTTGGCAAGTTCAATATCTGGACGTCCAAGCATGCTGACTCCCAGACCAGCTTCTCCACGAGCTTTGGCTTTATATTCAATCTAAGACGAATATATGAAATGTCAAGGGGTTAAAAAAAACAAAAACAAAACCCCCCTCTGGCTTCTACATACTGAAATGAAACTATTTATATGCATGCTGTCATATTGCCACAAGTTGCTGAACAGTTACACTGATAAAGTACTTACATCACTGACTAAATGGGAGACTTGGGTGGCTTTCTTAATATCAGGGCGATCCGCCACACTAGTGTAATGGAGCTTGGATTTGGCATCCTTTTTGTATTGGATCTAGATGAACACAAGGATAAAGAGAAGCAGTTACTGTTGTGTTTTCTTTTTAAGGAAAGAACAAGATCCTTTGGATGATAATGTTTTCACCAGAGCTATTGTTGATGCCCACCACCCATGCAAAAACTGCATACGTTTCACTGTAATGAAACAAAGTCTGCATGGAAAAGCTACAGCCACCCATGTCAGCGTGTGTTTCTCCTATAGCCCACGGCTTCGAAAGGATTATTCCTTAGATTGCCCATCCAGGGTTTAAATGAGGTAACTGGAGGAATAACTTACAGTGCTCTGATTCTTTGCAACTTCCATGGCGTGTTTCACATCAGGAGGCTCCAGCATGATTGAATAGTCTGACTTGCCTTTCTCCTTGTGGAATTTCTTTTTATAATTTGTCTGTTTCGGAACAGAAAAGAGTTGTGTCACACATTCTTCACCTGAGGCTTACTTTGCCGACATTTATAATAAGAAACATAGGTGATGACTTCTACGCTTAAGGAAGACAGGTGCGCATTCGTGTGGGCGCTCACACATGCACTTGTAGGTTAACTAGCTTTGTTTCCTGATCTGCTGCAAGTTTTCCTCTACGGTCAGAAGCTCTCCACATTAAAAAGAGAGAGGGAGAGATTCAAAGGGCAGCTACATAAAAGAGAATAAAGTTGACTGTAAGGACTGGTCCCTATGTGGAAAGCCCATCAGCTTACAGCTGTCAACAAACAGATATTGCATTGAATGGGTGTTCCCCTGATGATTTATGGCTATTTAATCCAGCAGAGATTTTCGTCAGTCAAACAAAGATCAAGGTGATCTTCAGTGATTGCTCCTTCCTCCACCAACCCCATGCTCCTGAATGCTGGGGAACCCTTTGGAAGAATATAAAAGATGGGACACGTACCCAAAATCATAGGGGGCGAGCACCAAGCAATTACTTAACCTATATCTCAATTGCTCCATCCATATTCTATTTACAGTTATTTTAAAATGACTAGAAATAATTAACTGCAATGAACCCAATTTTGCATATGTTTATACACACACACACACACACACACACACTGTTGTAGTTCTTCAGCCGCTACCAATGCCACTCATTTCTATCACACTCTTTAATTTGTAAAGCGTTTCAAAACCTTTGCTCTATGTTCATAATCAGGTCCCTTACCAACAATTAATTCAAACAGGCATGGATCGCGCAAACTCATGTCAGAAGAAACAATTTCTAGATTTGACAGCCTACAGAAATATATTTGAAGGCATTCTCTCTTTTTTCAACACGCTAAGCTTCCATCTACACGCGATTTCAGAAACTCTGTTCAACCACGTTATTAAACTTATGCTGATATTTAACTATGTGAGCTGACAGGCTGGTGTAAGTAACATCAGCCCTGGTGAACAGGGAGCAGCACCATTTTAGTAAGGCGTAATTAGCATGAAGTATAATTTATAATAGAGCAACAACAGTTTCCATCACCGAGTAAACAAGACAAATGCAAGCGTCAACTCAACCGGTGATGTGACTATAGTAATGCAAAAGCAGTTTACCTCACTGACGTTCTTGGTTACGTTTTTGACATGAACAGTGTCTCGTGTTTCTGGCAATTTTGTAAAGGAGCCATGTGGCAGGTGCTTCTTAACATGTTCTTTGTATTTGTTCTGGTGATGAAGAGAAACAACAGTTATTGAAGTAATATGTATTGAATAAGGAATAAATGCTGAAAACTGGAGAATTATATACATACATATATAAATAATAAATTACCTCAGACACGAGAGCACTAACAGTCTTCGCAAGAAGGATCTGAGGAGTATCTGGAACTGGGTGGATAGTTCCCCTTTCCTTGTTATGCTTCTCTTTATATTTTAACTGGGATATGAAATGAAAAGATATTAGTTTCAAGCAGTGTATAATAAACAGGGCTACACAAATGGGCTCGCCAAAGCCAAGACCATGTGTTTTATTTTGGTGTGAGTCTCCATCCTTCTCTGGACTACAGAAAGGCAAGAGCTAGCTCAAATTTTGCATTAACTATTGGAGAGATTGGAGGACTCTGTTCTAAAGTCAGAACATAGTCTGGGGACATTTCTGCCCTTCTTCCAGTATGAGAGAAGAGTGGTGGATTTCCTGACATTGTACTGAGACCTGGTGATGTTCAGTGTGGCAGAGACAACTCTATGCCCTTCAACCAGTTTGGAGTGGGGGCGCTGGATGGCTTTAACAATGCAATTGTGCTGGGCCCTGGAGATGTTTGAAGTACATCCAGAACCCAGAAAGGCACTAGTAAGAAGACAGTGACTTGGGCTGGTTACAAAGGCTACAGGAAATTTGAGGACCCCTGTAAATCATGGTAAGTATTTCTTTCCTTACCACTATTACCAGAACTGAACCTGACATTAAAAGGTGTTTTTGTTATCCAGTACTGAAAATGTTTCTTGGTGTGATTTGTTTGCCACACCTATTTAGAAAAGTACAATCATTGCTAAGGTTTACATGCTGATCTGAGTGTCCAAGACTTAAAAAGGGGTGGGGGGTGGGGAAGCTTCCATTAAAAGGATTTTAGAATACTCACATCACTCGCCAAGATTGCATTCTGCAAAGCCAACACTGTGTTTTTGTCATCTGTTACGGATAGCTTGCATCCTCTATAGTACTCTCGGTCATATTTGTAATCATACTACAAAGAAACAGGAGAATAAAAAGTGTCAGAAGTGCAGCCTGTGGCACCAGAGGTATGCCTTGCTATGTCAGGAAATAAAATGGGTCCATGTGGTTTTAGTTTCCTTACATCACTCTGTTGCAAAGATGATTTGGCAGCTTGGATGAAGTCCGGTCTGTCCACAGTCCAGTGCCAGTGAGCCTTGGCAGCTTCATATTTCTTCTTGTAATCCAGCTGTTCAAAGAGAAATAGATAAACAATGTAAACGTAGACTCAAGCCATTCTTGTAAAAGGGTCACCATAAAACAAGAGTGAAAAGGATATTTTTGATTCCCAAAAATAAATACGTAACTAAATGTTTGGTGGTGCAGATGCAAACTTCTATGTCTAGGAATTCTGACACTCCCCATAAAGTTTCACTTTCCCTTAGCCATTTATGTTGGCCATCCAAAGTTGAGCAGTTGATAAATCTCCTATTTTTACCAGTAAGCTGGGAGCGCAACCCCCCCCTACAATATGAGTGGGCTATGTTTGCCATGGCTTGCGGACTGTACAAGGCTGCAGACAAACAGGTCTGCCACTTTCTACTTTTCCATCCATATCTGCCTTTTTCTCGCTCTTCTACAGAATTTTAGCTCTGCTTGTGCTGCTGTGGAACAAGCATGGGAAAAGGCATAGCCTTAAAAGGAAAAAGACAAAAGATTAAACAGGTAGTGGGTTTTATGTTTGGAACGACCACATTTTCTTAGCTGTCAGGAATACAGCATGTTAAAAAGGATGGTTTGTTCGTACATGGCTCTTTCAGGAAGTTGGAACCTTGGGATTTGCACCACCTACAATTTGTACTCTGCCCAAAGGGATGGGGGTGGACATTTCTCTATCCCACACATATCTAAAGTTGGCATGAGATGCACTGCCTCATCCGATCTGGCTAGGAGTTTCCGTAAGCGTATGGAAATTAGGCACCGAAAGAGGCCTCAGCTGAGTGGGACCTGGGAGCCCTACTCCCTCAGTTTCCTTTGTAAGGCTTAGTCACCAGCAACAATAGCACTGGACTCACATTGCTGTTTACTTTGTAGGCCTGCTTGGCAGCTTTGATATGAACAGAATCCGGTACAACGTTGCAGTGAGACTTATTCTGTTGATAGACTTCTTTGTATTTCAGCTGTCGAAAGAACAAGAAGGTTAACGTTGCACATCTCTTTACACGGCTAAACAGAAATCACCCCAGGGAAAATTGTGTTAATCTGCCCTGGTAGGTCCAAGGAGGCACTGAATTTAGCGAACATCTGAGCAGTGGAGCCCCATTTGCCCTAAGAGAACAACCTTCGCTGCATTAAGGGTCCTCCTCCACTGGCAGCCCCCAGCCCCACCTCCCACACTGTTCCAGAAGGTTCCCCACAGCCCACCAGAATTGCATGAGGGTTGTGTTGGGAGCTGCAGGAGAGAAACAGGGATTTGGCAAATGTCACTTCCGATTTTCTGCCAAATGGGAGAGCCTGCTCCTGCTGGTGGAAACAAAGTCTAGTACCAACCCATAATACGTAAGCCTATGGGCATTTCTCTTAATCCCCAT